GTTATAAATCATTCAAATGTGATGTCAATAATTGTACAAAAATTTATACATATAGAAGAAATCTAAGAAGACATAAATTAATCAATCATTTTATGAGACGATTTAAATGCAATCATTGTTATAAACAATTTGTAACTAAAAATTATTTAAGATATCACATAAAAATAGTACATTTAAAAACAAATACTATTTAAATGTAATGTAATGTCAAGTATTGCTAAATAAAACATTTGATAGGAAAAATTTTTTTTGAGAAAAAACATAAATTAATACATTTGTGAATAAAAAAAAATTGATTGAAAAATAAAATTTAAAAAACAAATCATTGTTTACGACAACACATAATACGCAACCATTTAGTTGATTCAAGAGTGATGTCGACGACAACTGTGACAAACAATTTTTTTAAATAAATATTATTATTATGTTTTACAAAAAAAATAGATGAATTAATTTAGTTAATAAAAAAAATATTATTAAAATTGTAATTTCTATGTTTAAAAAAAATTGTCTGCTTTTTGTTGTTGTAAATATTAATAAATAAAATATTCAAAATATTACTAAATTATTTTTATTGAATGATTAGATCAGTAAAAAAAATATCCAATGAAATAAAAAAAATAAATTTTAAAAACATCTGTAAATTAAAAAATTAATTAAAATATTTGCTTTTTAAATATAATATAATAAATCTAAAAAAAATGTTTAAATATATTATTGTCAGATAATTTACTTATAAATAAATAAACTTTGTAATACTTAGAAAAATTCAAAATTATTTATAATGTATCAAATAGTTTTATAATAGTTGATTAAAAACGCCAAATAGTTATTTTTAAATAATTTCAAAATAATACTAAAATACTTTATAATAATATTATTAGTTAAAAGTAGAAAAATTTGGTTTATCTACAGTTTATGCCACCTAAAAGTTTAAATATTATGTAATGCTTTAGCAAGGTACTTTATATAACTTACCTCTATATTAGGTAACTGTATACTAATTTACCTTGTTTAGCGTTAAGTATTAATTGTACACGATATTACTCAAATTTAAACTTTTAATTGGCATAATCTGTATAATATATAAATTATTGTTTATATTTTAGAGTATTATATGTTACTTATTGATTTATTTGAAATATTTATATATTTTAAATAAAAATAAATTATTAAATGATGTATTTTAATAATCACATTAATAAACAAAAATGTTGTAAAATTAAAAAAAAATCATTACCATTAAGTATTATAGTTAAATTATTTTAAACAAAAAATATGAAACACTAAATTGATAGTTAGACATATTTTTATATCATATTTTTGTTAATTTATTTTGTGAACACTTAGAGTAATTTTTTGTGTGTTAAATTATAAAGATTATTAATAAATTGATTTACATTATTATAAACTATACAAAAATAACTTATTTTATGAGTTTAAATATAATTTTAGTATTTTTGTAAAATAATTAAATAATTGTTATTTATTAGACTTATACAAAATATATATTATTTAGTAAAATTTAATCTAAATAATATATGACTATAATTTTGCAATTATTTCTAGAATATAAATTTGAATAAATAACTATCTAATTTTCTATTATATAATTATTGGAAAAATTAAATCGATATTTAAAGGTTATAATTTACAAAAATAGTATTTATTTATGATTAAATTGATTATTATATTTATATTAATAAATTTGCGACTATTATAATAAATATATAATATTGTATATTCATTATAAATGTTTGTAAATATAAAAATTATTTAATATATAAATAAATAAATGAATATTTACATAACTTTTTATAAATCATAATCAATATAAAATAAATAATTTATTAATAATATTAATAACATAAATTATTATCTTTAAGTAGAAAATAATATCAATAAAAATATAAAAAATAATTTTTTTAACTATCAATATATCACATAATAATATATTTAATATAAAAGTTGTGTAATTTTTCTGTCATCATATTTTAATAATTTTGATATAATTTATAATAATTTTTTATTATAACTATTTTAATAAATTAATTTAAAAACAAATTAGCTAATTTAATATTAATTATCAAATGAATTTTAATTTATCTATTTTGATTGTAGCAACTAATCAAGTATTTGCTTATTAATTGATTAAATAATAATTATTTCAAAAAAAATTTATATTACATTTGTTTTAATTAGTTATTGCCATTTACTCAATATGTAAATCAATATAAATTAAATGGATTTGATGGCAAACTATTGCAAACAATAAGTAGCAAGCTAAATTTTACATACAAACTAATTGATTGCAATAATTATTGGGGTTCATTGGGATCTAATAATACATGGAATGGCATTATGGGTAAAGTTATTTCAAAGGTAATTATATTAGGTTAATAAAAAAAACATTTATATTTATTTGTATAAAAAAATGTTTATAATTATTTTTTAAAAAATATTGATTGCCTAAATTAACAATAAATATATTTATTATTATTATTATTATTAGCAAGCTCATATTGGTATTGGTGAATTAAGTATAACAGTTGATCGTCAAAAATATGTTAGCTTTACATATCCCTATTATTTGTCTGGCTATACATTTGCAGCACCGGTAGTTAATTTAAGTAAATCGGTTTCTATGTTTTATCAACCATTTGATTGTTATATATGGTTAACAATATTACTATCTTTTACAACAATTAATTTAATAAATATGATTATTAATAGACAACATTTGACAAACTATAACTACAATCTTTTAGCAATATTATTAAGTCAATCGATTGACGTTAATGTTATTCACTGGGAATTAATACCATTATTGATAACATGGATCATATCGTGTATAGTATTGAGAACACAATATTCCACAATAATGTCGGCCATAATGACTGTCCCATTAGCTACCAGTCCTATGGATACTGTCAATGATCTATTGAGTGCAGTAAAAAATGGACAAATTAAATTGTTATTTACACATAAAACAACATTATTACAACAATCAATTGCAAATATGGTAAATTAATATATATATATAAAAAATTTTATCGTTGAATATTTATGATATTAATATATAATATTATAATATTTTAAGATATTATCAATTTTTTCTATCAATCAATTTATAGTTGAATGCAAATCTAAATGATAAACATTACATTCAATATATTTATAATAGAAGTATAGGTTTTAAAATTATGAAAACCTACCATGGTCAATATACTATACTCGGTAATCTCGATAGACTTAACTATGATATACGTATTAATGGTCTAAACTATATCATACCTCCCAATCATAAAGACTCGACTATTTTCATTGATTTGTTTTCTATCGCTTTAAACGATAATTTTAAACAATATGTTCACGTATTTAATAAACTGTAAGTTTTATATAAAAAAAAATTAATTTTATACTAAAATACAGTTATTTTTTTATTTTGTTGATTATATCTATTTTTTAGTTATTTTAATTAAAAATAATTGTATAAAATGTCTATAGTTTTGTTTTTATTTTATTGAATAGATTATCCCAAATAAATTGTGCTGGATTATTTGTTTATTGGAAAAATCAATTCTATATCAAACAAACAAATATGAAATTTATTTATTATTCAAACACTAAATCTATTAATGAATTTCATAGATTTCAATCATTAAATTTGCATCAATTTGAATATTCATACTATTTATGTTTATTTGGTTTATTTATTGCAATAGTTATAAATTTAGTTGAATATATGTTTGGTTGTAAACTTTTGTTTAAGCTTAGTACAAGTATATAAAAATTAAAGAAAAACCTTATTAGCCGACATCCCCTCCCCCTCCAATTGGAAAACGTAATATGTGAATCACCCCCTAATAATAAAGAGCTCTCAAAACAATTTATTAGTTAATATCAATATTAATAAGTATTATAAATACTAATCAAATATAATATTAATTGTAATTTTCTCATATAATTTAACAATATTATCTTACCTGTATATATGCATTTCAACAAAAAAAATCAATAAATAAAATTATAAATAAATTGATTAAATAATGTTTATATGAGACATCAGAAAAAAAATTTAGTTAATTTTAGTACTTTTTATTATTATTATTATAAAGTGATGTTTAATAGCATTTATTTCTATTTATTGTTTATTTGTTTGTTATCAACCACTTTCTCAACAAACCATTCATACGATAAGTTAATACAAAATTTTTAGTTAATACAAATCGGTGGAAATGCATGTATGGATACTTCAAATAGTTATCAGTTATCATATATATATATTGATGGCCTTCAATGATACCCTTATTTTCTTAATTATTAACATATTTAAAGATTTTAGTTTTATATTTTTATTTTTTTAATATTAGTTTAAAAATTTAATCAAAAAATATAAATAGTTGCTAATATTTTTTTAGCTAATATTGCTAATACAATTTTTAGTTCAATTAAATTTAATTATTATATTTATATTAAAATATTAAGCAATTGTTTTATACAAAAATGTTTTAAAACAAGATATTTAACCTATTTATAAAAATATATTTTTTAATTATTATACATTATTAGATAAATAATCTAAAAATAATAAAGAGTAGTTGTATACGAAATTTTAAAACACTTAAATTTATAAATTGATAATTTTCTTTAAATAAATAATTTTTTTTGTTACGAAATAAATGATTTTTTAAAATTAATATGAAAAATAAATATAAGAAATTATTAGTAATAATTATACAAAAACACTTGTAATTAATATGAAAAATAAATAAAACTATTAACTATTAATACTGTACTTTAGTATTGTATCATTAAAGATAATACTTAAAAAAATAAATAAAAATTACTGACTTTTATAAATTTTCTATTACTAATTAAGATAATAGACTAAAATAAATAATAATTGTATAGCATTTCTATATAAATAATCATTAAAACAATGATAAAATTAAAATAAAGTAACTATAAAAACTCTGTTATTTTTTCTAATAAATACAATTTGTTTTTAAAAATAAATAAATAAATATTCGTTAAAACAATAATTATATAAAAAATTATTGCAATTAAAATTAATGTTACAATGTCTGCATCATTATTATTATACGGTATTATTAACTTAATTTAATTTAGTATATTAAAACTTAATATAATAAATTGTTTTAATGTATAGCTATATTAGCAATAACTTGCACTGTTGTTGATCGGGCACTGGGAGGTAGTTGTCCTGATAATCCCATAGATATCTACCCGTGCACATGCGATAATACTACCGTACGGTGTGTGGCCATCAAAAAATTTGATCTGCAATTAGTTATGGAAACGTTAGCCCGTTTGACATCACCCGATGTCAACTCATTTGACAACTTTGAACTCGAGGCCAATGCCGTGGAAATGTTAGACGACAGTACATTTCAAGGGGTGACCTTTGAATACCTTAAATTCAATGGCAATACTGCACTAACATGTGTTCATCCAAAAGCTTTTGAGGGTTTGTCCGAAACAGTAGTTTCATTTGAGTCAACACTAACCAGTTTCAGGTAATAATAATAATAATAATAAATTTAAAATTAATAAAATTAAAAATATTTATTTTGAAATTTTGAAATTTATTTACAAGTGATTATACTCCACGTGTTTGTGATATATTTGGTGCATTGAGTTCATTGCATTTAATTAATAAAATACAAATTATCGGTTCCGGTATTCAACAGATACCCGACAATGCATTCAATGGTATTTTAAAACAAATAAATCTGAATTCAATAGATTTGAGTGGTAATGACCAGGGTGGAAATATTAAATCAATTGGCAAACATGCTTTTTCTAAATTACCAAGTATGTTATTTTTTTAGAAAAGAAAATCTATAAAATATTTTTTATAAAAACCTATTTATTTAAAAACAAAAAATAGTTTTAAATGAGGGCGTCGGTGGCGATGCTATTAAATTCAATCATCTGATAATCTATATATAAATATATATATATAGATATATTTAAATCTTTTATCTGATCAATCATACAATTAATTTTTAAAAAAAAACCAATTACAATGTTATTTAGTTTAAAATTATCTACAATATTGACATTGGTTATTTTTTAAAAAAAAACCCAATGTAATTTTTGATCACATAATTGTAATTAATAGCATCGCCTGCACCTAATTTCTCCAAAATTAACAATAATAACAATTTCTGTATAAATATATAAAAAATATATCAATAGATTTACGAAACATAAATTTGTCGTCACATAAGATCAATACAATTTGGAGCAATGCTTTCCAGTTTGAGGACTGGTCTGTAAACACATTGACTATAAATTTAAATCAAAATCCATTGACAAATATAACATTTATGGGTCCATTGAATACTAATGGACGCATAACTACCATGTATTTGGAAGATATGTCAACATTGAGACAACTGTCCGAAAGTGTTTTCGATGGCTTCCTAGAGGACAGAGCCTGGACTTCAAACAAAATTAACTTAACCGGCACTCCGTGTACAGTAACTGAGGGAAACAAATGGATAATAGTAAATAAGGAAAGGGAGCACTTGGAGGACAAACTTATTAATTTTAATTGCACTGATGGCGGACCTATATTCAAGCATAAACTCCATGATTTTGATAATCCGGATACTTTTTATTAAAAAAACAATACAATTTAGTTAATACAATGTTTTTAAAAAAAATATCTAACAAACTATTTTTTAGTTTATTATAAATAAAACAAATAATAGTAATTATTTTTTTAAAAAATGGTTAAACTTAATTATATATTTTATATTTTAAAAATTTTACATTGCTATCGTGTATTATAAATAAATTATATCTATATTTGATTAGTTGATTATTATTATTTTTTAAATACATTTTTAATTAGAAAAAACGTAAATTAAAACAAATTTTATATATTATCTAGTAATAATAATAATAATAATATTTTTATTAAACATGTTTAGTAAATATTTTTTAAAATTTGATTGATTATAATGAAATTATGAACAATAAATTATGAAATAATTATTATACAAATATAAAAAAATAACAACAATACAATTCAAACATACATTATTGATTTTTAATTATACAAATATAATTAATAAAAAATATATTTTATTATGCTATAATAATTAAGTAAATTATTATTTAATAATGATATAATTTATCTGTAATATAATACCTGTATATTGTTGGTTACATATAAATTATTTAAGTTATAAATTATTTAAGTTATGAATTATTGTTTTAAGTTTAATTATTGTTGACAAACATACACACATCTAGTATTAATAATATATATATATATATTAAAATAATCTGTTTAATCATAATAATAATATAACAATCATTAAGTAATTAAATTAAATTATATTTATATATATATGAATAAATTAAAAAAAAATTATACTAATATATTGAAAATTTAAAATCAAATAACAACATATTAATTATTAATTATTTTTATTTATATAATAATATTATTATTATTATTATCATTAAGTATAGTATATCACAGTTCAATAGACTCGACACCTGTCGGTGCGTAAGACTCGCCAAACTTGGAGTTATTGTAACGCATGGATGAGCTCTTGTGCGATGACGACGACCTCAACAGCGATCGGCGTTTCAATTGTGAACAAAAATATTTTAGATCACTCTGTAGTCACAAAAAAATAAATTATATAATTTAATTTCTGTTTTATATTATTATTAATAATTTATTTACTATTTTACAAATTAGAATTAATTACAAAAATATTTATTGAAAAATATTTTAACCATTAGTTTTGTTGTGTGTATAATCAAAGAGAGAGAGAGAAAAAAAGAGAGAAAGAGAGAGAAAGAGAGAGAAAGAGAGAGAAAGAGAGAGAAAGAGAGAGAAAGAGAGAGAAAGAGAGAGAAAGAGAGAGAAAGAGAGAGAAAGAGAGAGAAAGAGAGAGAAAGAGAGAGAAAGAGAGAGAAAGAGAGAGAAAGAGAGAGAAAGAGAGAGAAAGAGATAGAAAGAGAGAGAAAGAGAGAGAAAGAGAGAGAAAGAGAGAGAAAGAGAGAGAAAGAGAGAGAAAGAGAGAGAAAGAGAGAGAAAGAGAGAGAAAGAGATATAATAGTATACGTTATTATAAATATCTTATTGCGTGTGTGTGTATGTGTGTGTGTGTGTATGTGTGTGTGTGTATGTGTGTGTGTGTATGTGTATGTATATGTGTGTGTATGTGTGTGTATGTGTGTGTATGTGTGTGTATGTGTGTGTATGTGTGTGTATGTGTGTATATGTGTCTGTGTGTGTGTATGTATGTATGTTTGTACTGGATTAAAAACATGATTAATTTGATTGTACTAAATGTTTAAACAAAAGATTTAATTTATTTATGTCTATTATATTTGTAATCTTTTCAAATTTATATGTAATATATATAATATTATATATTTTACTTATAATACAAAAAATATCATAAATTAGATTTCTAAAATTTATATATAAATTAAGAGATTTTTTTCGAGATTATTAGATACTGTATTGTTATATATAACTTATAAGTACTGTATTTATTTGATTTTTTTATTATACAATAAATAATTTTTGTTTTTATAGTTGAATTGTAATGAAATTATTATCGGAAAAAATGAAATTATTAAAAAAATCTTAAATTAATAAACAAATATATATAGAGTACTACAGTATATGTTGATATTATTACACAATCTAAAAAAACAATAGTAATGTATTGTCTAGACACTAATGAGATGCGGAAAACAACACACAAATATCAAATTATACTATATTTACTTTATTATATAATTATATATGAATTTATTATACAGTATATACTCTATATATAAAAAAAACAAATAAAAACAAATACAGTTATACAATAGTTAGCTGTCAATAATCCATTATCTAATTGATAGTTCCCATTGTATTTTTGACGTTCCCAGAGGTCAGGCATTGATGGATATGATTGTGTAATGTTGTCGACACACAAAAAAAATCACAAACACATACATACTGTATATACTTTATCACACATACAAATGTACAATAAATCACGCAATCATATATTTATATTAATATAATGTATAAATAAAATATATTTATATACTGTATATTAATATTAATCTATATTATAGATTCTATCATATAATATGAAAAAAATATAATTGAATTTTTTCACCATTATTTATATTTACACAATAAATATTGAGTATATATATAAATCAAAAACATTTGTAATAATAAAGTAGTACTTATAGTATTTATAAATATTGTATTTTATTTTTATGATATAAATATATTAGTAATACAAGTATTTGTATATATATGTGAAACAAAAATCTAATCTAAATTTATACAGATTTATGGTTTAATATATTATTAAACGCTATATTATTCAATAGAGTAAATATAAAAATAAAATTATATAATATATTTATATATATATTGTATATTTTTATTTTATTTTTGTTGTCATCACAATATATAAGTTTTATTTGTGTGTTTTGTGGTGAAAGTAAAAATAAAAACAAACAAACAAACAAATAAAAAATGATTTTGAAATAATTTATATATTTATCGAAAACTAAATTTATTAATTAAATATTTATAATATATATACTGTATACTAAACAACGTAAATAATATAAACAGTATAAACTGATACTAAAAAAACATAATTGAATTGAATTTTTAATTTTTGTTTGTTTTGTTAAAATTTATTAAATTTTAATGATATAATTTTCATTTTTTAGTATTATTGAAGCTATTTAACAATTCAATTGTTAAAACTATTTAATATATTTAATATTAAAAATAAATTAAACGCTAATAAACAAATAGATTTTTTTAAAAAATAAACTATTGTTAGTAAATCCAAATAATTACATAATAACTAATAAATCTAAATATTATTTAAATTAATTAAATAGTTTATACTTTTGTATTAGTTTAGTAAACAATAATTTAATTAACTGTTTTTATAAATAATATTTAAGTCTAACTTAACTTTAATTATTGGTTTGGGTATTGAATAAATAGATTTCACTTTCTAGTATACTGTATATCAATATTATATATAATATAGTTATAGATAATTATTTATTTATATATGCGTAGGTGTGTGTGTGTGTGTGTTGTTTGTGTTTGTATTTATTTTTAACCAAAAAATAAAATAATTTAACAATTGTACAAACAAACTATTAGTAAACTATACAACAAATAATAAAAAATAATATAAATTAAATTAAATTATTTTGCACAATAAAATACATGGTCTAAATACCATATAGTAATGATTGGCTAAATTTAATTTGCTGACTAAAAATAAATGTACTGTATGATTTTTTGTGTTGATAATAAATAAAATAAAAATGTTGTTTATCAACAACAACAACAACAAAAAATAAATAAATAAAAATGTTTTGAATATCAATAATATTAAGTTAGAAAAAAATACAATCTGTAATTGTAATTAGTTACTATTGTATTATTATTATAATTTTAGTATTGATATTATATTACAATAATATATAGTAATTGAAGATTTCATTGATATTTTCTTTATGTTTGATTTTTTGTTGTTGAAAATACAAGTTTTAGTATTAAATATTAATGAAATTCTAAAAATAAATACTATATTCTTGATATTTACTGAATTTCATTAACACTAACTATAAATAATTGAATATAAAATAAATAAAATTAATTTTCAAAAAATAAAAAGTTTTGATATAATAAAAATATATATATAAAATCACAATTATTTTAAAGTTAAAAAATTTAAAAATAGTTTTATCAAATTAGTTTTTAAAAATAAAAACAATTGTTTTCGAAAATATATTGATTATATTAATATTAGATACTATTAGAAACTTTGACTTTGAATAAATAGTTTAAATATTATTTTGTATTATAAATTTTTTTATATATAAAACTAATCAAATTTCTAATAATTTTACTTTTTCTAAATTATTTTCAAAAAAATTAATTTATCACTAAATATTTGTTGTTAAAAAAATTAATTAATTAAATCTCATATTCTATATACACAAGTATATTATCAAAATACCAATTTTCGAGAGATTTTTATTTCACATATAAAACAAAAAAAACTCATTTATATTTTTACTCATAAAAATAAATAGTTAGGTATAATGTGTGCACACAAATAGTGAAAAAAAAATTCTTTATATTATTGTTAGCATTTAATTTATATTTTTTTGCAAATAAAAAAAATAATTTATTTTTTTAATATAATGTTATATATATAATAGTATACTGTATATATAATCTTATATATATAATAATATATGTACCCAATAATATGGTATTGTATTTTTTTAAAGGTAATACTATAAAAATTTACGTAAAACCTACATATAATACATTATATTCATACAGTTATATAATGGATAATATGATATATTTGAGAAATAAAAATAAAACATATTTATCTCTAATATTTGAAAACACACACAAATACATATACAGTATATATATACATACAATAATATATGTAAATATTATTCATAGTGTATCATATATGTATATATTTATATATATACAACTGTATACAATATATAATATTATATATGATGATTTAATGTTAATAAATATGATTTAGTAGTTGTTATTATGTGTAAATGCAATGTCAATCTTAATATTATAAATAATAATAATAATAATAATACATTATTGGTGATAGTATGCTAAGGAGATGACACATAAAAAAAGTCGTTAAGTAAATACTATATATAAGATTATATGCATATACATTATTAATATATATATATATATATATATATATATATATATATATATATATATATATAAATACTATTTTCTAAATACTACTAAATATTATATTTTATATACAAACACACACACACATTATGATAAATATAATATACAAATGTATATTTTAACGGAATATAAACATTAAAATAATATTCTCATTAATGTTATATATAGTACTGTATGTCAGTATTTATTATTAGTTAATGATTTCTATAATTTTATCTAACATTTTATGATTTTAATAAAAGCTAATGATTTTATTTTATGTGTCTATGTGTTTAAGTGTGTGTTAGTATTTTTCACAACAACAAAAAATAGACTGACATTACTAGTAATTTTCAATACATTAAATGATTTTTTAAAAAAAAATAAACTAACTAAACTACTGTTACAATACTAACATTATTAACTTATTAAATAGTAATAAAATCAAAATAATAAGTTAATAATTGTTTGTTTATAACAATAATAATTACAACAATAATAACAATAATAATAATTTGTTTATAACAAATTTTCTTTTAATATATGTGCTGAAAATAACTAGTAATATCAATTTAGTTTTTGTTTGTTAAACATAATTGAATGCCAATCTTATTATTGGATTATGTTATTACTTTAAATATAACAATAATATTATTATAATATAACTTTTTTGTATGTTACTTAAAATATTTACCGTTTTTTAATATAATTTTATTTTGTATAATAGACTGACTATGTATTGAATATTTTTTTACATATATTTCTATATTAATAATAAATATAGTATAAATATAAAAGATAAAAATATGAATAAAAATAGATAAAAAAATATTATTATGTTTTTTTAAATGGATTAATTTTAAATGATGTCTAATGGATTTTAATTTTTTTGTCGACACAAAATGGTTATAATAAGTTACTTATAATTTATTTAATAACTAAACAAATAAAATTGACAAAATAATTACTTACCCTAAAGTTGTCGCTCATAAAACAATAGATAAATGGATTGACTATTAGGAATAAAATTTACAAAAATTACATATTAATACATATATATATATGAAAAAATCATATATTAAATAAAGTATCTATTGATATATTGAAGTAAATAAACAATACATATGTAAACTTTTTTTTATATGTGTTATAAATTACACACATATATAAATAACATGGTTAGACTAGATAAATAAATGCAACATTATCAAAAAAAAATATATGAAAAATAGTTATCAATAAATATAATAATAATAATGTACATATGCATAAAATATTATGATATATTGAATATATAATCAAACATATACTGTATACTATTATTATATGGTATTTAGATTTATCCTAAAAATAAATGCCACAAAATATCTACATTATATACAGTACATCATCAATATATTATGAATTTATATACAGTATTATAAATAAAATATATGACACATACACTATTGCCGTGTATAAAGTACTGTAGTTTACTCATGATATAAATTATATTAATAGTATATATTAAATATTTGATTTTCATAATAATAAAAAAGAGAGAAAACAAAAAAAAACTAATATTTTTTATTATTAATAATAATATTAAACTTTATTATTGTATGCTATAACAAACAAAACAAACAAAAAAAAGTTTTGTTAGCTAATAAAGATTGATTGCACACGTATTATACATGCTTTACAACAACAACAAAATATAATAACAATGTGATAACAAATACATATAGAAATTATAATATCATATTACTGTATACTGAAAAAAAACACAGAATTTTTAACTTATATAATACTATATTAAAAAAAATCTCTAAATATGATAACAATAAAAAAAATCTATATATATATATAAATAATCTATTTGTCAAAAACATGCGTATATTATACAAATACAAACACAAACACACAAAAAAACATAATAATAAAATAAATTTACATTATATATGTGTGCATATAATTAATATTATTCACACAATAGATATAATATCTGATAACAACTGATCGGACTTTACTGTATATGATTACCAGTCTATTGTTTGTAGTGTTGGGCAAAAAAAGAGAAATTTTTTTAGAAAGTTTCTAAAATAAATTTCTATCTATAGGATTCCCATAGTTAATTTTGTTCTCTCAATATTTGTTATCTTGTTTACATTATTATTACAAGTAATAATTAAATATTATTATTAGTATCTTAATTATTATAATTAAAGTAAAAAATAATTTATTTAATTATATTAAACTATGATATAATAAAATTTTTACAAAACTAATTATTAATGGATAATTATCAATTATTTATATAGGATATGGGGGATCCCATAGTATAACATCAAGAGTTAAATTTCTATAGAAATTTTAGTCATGAGAAATTTTCTAGAAACTTTCTCTCACGGAAATTTATTAGGAATCTTTCTATTTGCCCATCCTATAATTGTTTTGTCTAAAATATTATTATTTTTTTGAAAAAATTTATATTTCAAAAAAAAACTACATTACTATCAACTAATTAGCAATACACAAATTATATTAAAAAATAATATAATTTTTTTTTGTTTTTTTGTTGTTGATTACCTAGTGAATGTGCCATTGCCAGCCAATGGCATATGAAAAAACTTGACACATAGATATTCATTTGAAACTGGGTCCTAGTTTTTAGGCTATCACCGAATATCCAGATAACAAAATTAAACATTTGTATGGGTGTCCAGCAAATGGCAAACAATATGACAACCATTGACATCATTTTGATGGCCTATTTACAACAACAAAAAATTTAATTAATTAAATAATTGGTGTAAAAAATATTTATATTATAATATTAATAATACAAAAGTTTCATTAAACGTACAGTACATGTGGTATAAATAGCAAAAAAATAATAGTAAATCTAGTTAATAGATAATACAGTAATATAGCAAGTTTATCAATATACATTTTTATTATCTATTATTATTATTATTATTATTGTTTTCAATTATTTTAATAGTTTAGTGTATTTCTAATAAGTTTAATAATAAAGTAAATTTGCATTATATATAATCAAATGTATAATATTAAATAAATTTTAACAATTTTAAAATTTAGTAAACTAGAATATTATAATATTTAAAATAATTGTTTTCTAATTACCATAATTTTTATATAAATTTATCAAATTTTGTGTAATTTGTAACAGATTTTTAAAAAATAAAAATACTTAAAATATTTTGAGAGACATGCCTTTGAGGCACATTGATTTGATTCATAATACATAAAACCAATAATACATTAATCTTACATAATATTTCTATATTTTATATCAATATAATTTATATAATATTAATAATAATTTTGTTACATTATAATAAGTATAATAAGTACTTATTTATGTGATTCAATAATGTACTTAACATTATGTTTAATATGATATTTATATATTGTATATTAAGCATATGTACTGTAATTAAACTATTATATTGTATACAATAATTACTTAGAAAATTAATTAATTAATTCCTAGAATCTTTTAACTAATTTATTTGTATTATATAAAAAAAATAAAATTTTTGGAAAATAAATAAATAATAAATTTAAATAAAATCATAAATGTGTTAATAAATAGAATATAAAAAAAATATTTTCAAATAAATATATTTATAAATATAAAAAATCAATATTACTTAAGAATATTTGAATAGGCAATCAATTTATGCTACAATAGATCAAATTTACAACAATTTTATTATATAATACAATATTGTTTTTCACATTTATTAAATGCAAACACATTTTATTTATTTTTTTAGTTTTTTTATTCATATGTTTTATAATGGCGACATTTTTTTGTTAACAACTATTTATTATATATTTTAATGCAATTTTCTATAGAAAAAAAAATTAAAATTTTATTCACCAAATATTTTGTCAAAAGAAATGATTAATTATTTTTATTTACAGTATTTGTTTCGTTTGATTGATTGATTGGTTGAAAATTTTTAATTTAATTAAATTATATAATCAATCATCAAAAAAAAGTTTTAATTAATTATTTTTATATTAATAAATAATAATTTATATTAAGTTATATAAAATAATAATAATAATACCTTAATTGATGCAATGCTACGAGTGTTGGCTAATTGTTGAGACTCACCCACTGGTTTGCGGGTGAGTATTGTATAGCCGATTGAGCCGTAAATAAATATTAGTCCACACAATGGCAGAGCAAATGTAACCAATAATAATGTTATTGAATACTATAATAATAATAAAAAAAATTATTTCAACAAAAATAGAAAGTTTTACAAAATAAATGTTTTTTTTGTGTGGGTATTATTGAGACTATAAAAATATTTCAAAAAAATAAAATAAAAATTAGGTTTCATATGATAATAAAAATAATAATAATAACATACAATTTCACCCCCACTTCCACCCCATTCCTCCCGGCAATCGAGTAATATCTCTGAATTATATTTGAATGTAGTCGTCCTCATTGTCAACATGTTTGGCATCGCTAGGAGGGCCCCCACCAGCCATATGAGGGCCAAAATCAGTACACCCTTTGTCTCGACAAAACCCGTGTGACGTAATGGATGAAGTATTGCGTAATATCTATAGAAATAAAAAATAATAATAAATATATATTTTTTTCAATTAAAAATTAATTAGTTTTATTTATTTTTTAAATAATAATAATAATTGATAAAAGCTATTATAAAAATTAAGCAAAAATTTTTAATTAGTTGCCAGTTTTTTTTTGTATAAATAACTGTCAAATTTATAATTTATCTAATTAAATAATTAATGCTAATTAATTTATGCATGAACTATTTTTATATGTTTTTAATTAAGTTAATTATTTATATATTTATTTTTTTAAATATATATAATTTATATTTTAATTATAAAAATTTATGATACGTATATAATCATGACGATTTTTTTTATAAATTAATTAAATATATATAAATTTTTTATTTATAGATTAATATTATTTCTCATATTTTCAATACTAATACAATATAAATTTGATTTATGATTTGCTTAGAAAAAATTTATTTATTATTAATATAATATTTTTCAACTATAGTATTAAAATTACTTAAATATTTTTTTGTTTTGTTTTTTATAATGGAAATATTTTATAAACAATTTTTTTACTCTTAAATAAAAAATGTTTATTTAATTAGTCGCCTGATTTGTCTAATGTAAAATAGTTAAATAGAAAAAATAAATTGCAAAAAAAAACTAGCTATCTATAAATACAATAAATATTGATTTTATAGTTAAAATTATTTTGCACACACACACACTTAACAAATAAAATCAATAACCAAAAAAACTATAGCAAAATTTAAATTGTATAGTAAATTGTTTATCGATCATATATTTTCTACTTATATTATGAATAAAATATGACACAAAATACAAAAATAAATCAGTTTATATATATATATATATATATATATATATATATATATATATATATATATATATATATATATATATATATATATATATATATATATATATATTAAATATAAGGAGAGAGAGAGAGAGAGAGAGAGAGAGAGAGAGTAAAAAGTAAATTTTATTTTTAACAAAATTACAGAATTTATTAGTGCATATATATATATATAAAAAAAATTTAAGATAATGTTGACAAAGAAATGATTTTTTTTATTTCAAAAATTTTATTCAATAATTTATATAAAAAATAAAAATAGTGTGAAATATTTTTGTTAACACTTGATAAAACTTTTTAATGTCATTATTAATACATACATCAAAGTTACTGTACGTACTGTACATAAAACAACTATACATATATACACAACAATAACATAACTTATCCAAACACACAGACAAACAAATTTTTTTTTTAAACATAGAAATTTCAATATTAATGAATTTAAATCAAAAGTTAGTATTTATTTATTTTATTTTTTGCTAAACAATATAATAAGTATTACACTGTTAAGCTTGAATATTTATTAGGATTTAATTTTGTATATATATATACATATAATATATTGAATAATAATAATATACTGTAAAGTTAGAAATAATTTAAATATCAAGACATGAATATTCATTTATTTATCGATTTAAATATATATATAAAATAAATCTATTTTTATAGTATACACAAAAAAACTACAAAATAGTATATACCGTACCTAATGAAGTATCAACTTTTTTTGACTAAATTTTTTTCCACAATATTAACTCATCATAAAAAAAACTTTAGGCAATAATGCATAGATAAACTTATCAACTAAAAAAAATTATAATATGTTTTTTTAAACCATACATTTAAGGTAATTGATTTTTTGTTGTTGGTAAACTGCTATTAGACTATACATACAATATTAATATATCTATTAAAAATGTTATTAAAAAAAATTAAATGAAAAATGAAAATAAATTGCATAAATACTTAAAATACTAAAAAAATGTTTTAAATTTTTTTTATATAAATGATTTCAGTATTAAAATAATATATAGTTAAATATTAATTAATTAATTTTTTTTAATATAATAATACTAAAATTTTTTGTTTTTAATTAAATAAAAGTATATTATTTATAGATAAAAATTTCAATTTCGTAATTAAATATTAGTTTGTATAGAATATACTGTATGTATACAGTATATGATATATTTATAATAAATGAATTATATGTCAATCAAAATAAAATTAATACAAAAATATTTCTATTATTTTTGTTAAGTTATATACGTATATCATATATTTTAAACAATATAGTTTACTATGATAACCAATATTTTGAGGCAAATAAATTATTTAAAAATATTTTTAAAAAATCTATTAAACCATATAATCATGAAATTTGCTATAATTAACAAAATAAAATAAGTATTACAAATATTTAATCATAAGATAATTGTTTTTTAAAACATTTCTACAGAAATATATTTAACAAACAATAATTTTAGCGATTTTTTACTTTTTATATTTAAACTAAAAATAAAAAATAAAATTGTCAAAAAAATAAAAAACTTATTTTGAAATAAAATGCTTGCTTTGTTTTGTAATTTATTGTGTCTGTATTTGTTTGTTTGTCAATTTGTCTGTATTTAATTGGCAACAAAATATAGATATATAAAATAATTAGTGTTGGCAAAAAAGAGAAATTTATAAAATAATAGAGAAATTTCTAGAAAGTTTCTAAAAGAAATTTCTATCTATGGGATCCCCATGTTAATTTTGTTTTTCTCTATATATGTTATTATGTAACAATACATTGTTTTTACAAGTAATAATTAAATATTAGTATTAATATTTTAATTATTAATTAAAGTAACAATTAATTTATTTAATTATCTTGAATTCTTATATATATATATAAATAATAAAATGATGAATAAAATTTTACAAAACTGATTATTATTAAATAATTATAATTATTTTACATATAGGTATCGTATATAAGTATAATGTTATATGAGTAGTAATATGTCTCATTATTTATATATTATTACAATAGCTATAGATATGGGGATCCCATAGTATAACAATAAAGTTAAATTTCTATAGAAATTTATTCATGAGAAACTTTCTAGAAACTTTCTCAGGGAAATTTATTAGAAACTTTCTATTTGCCCATCTCTAAAAATAATACTAATATAAAACAATTAGATTTATTTTTAGTTAAATAGTTTTTTTAGTTTAGAAAATCAGTAATTGTTTTTTATTATAATTAAATAAAATGATAAATTATATTTTTGTGTATATATAAATTATAATATTAATAACAAATATTATAAATAACAAATTATTATAATATTATTTTTGATATTATACTATGAATAATATTTTATTTTTTTAAAATTACAATTATGCAATATATTCTAAAATAACAAAATTGCATTATTTTAATGTTAAATCTATATTTAAATGTTAAATCTATATTTAAACTTTTTAGTTTATTAATTAAATTATTCTATATATATCAAAAATACCAATTAAAATAAATTGACATTAAATTTAAAAAAAATGTTTTTATTTTATAAAATATTTATCAATTTATGCAAATTTAATGTTTTATCATTAATTATCATTAACATTTTGTATTTATTTATAGGCAATATACTAGTATATACTGTATATAAATTATATTAATGTAAATACAGTGTTTTCTGCATTTAATTCAAAAATATAATAAATGTATTATTAAATTATATTTTGCAATACATTGACAAATAAATATTTTTAGTTTAATTTAATCGTAAACTACTCTAATATTACGGTTTATTTTAATTTTAGAAATTTAATTTAATTTTTAATCTAATAATTAGAGCTATTACTCTAAATGTTGAATTTTATTTAGATTAATTTTCTATTTCTACTGACTTTTATATCAAAACTAATTAGTTAAGTCTAAATTATTAATAAAATTTTTACTAATCAACATATAATAGTCATTTATAATAAAATACTAATATTATAAAAATTTATATACAATAAGCCAATTGCTATCACATATTTATATTGTAAAAACAAAAAAAGAAATATTATATAATTATGTATTTTATATTCTATATTATAATATTTAGTATAATAACATTAGTTAGTATTGTAATGTTGTATATAATATATTATACTGTATATCATACCTATTTTTTGTAATATTATTTTTTATTGTTTCACTGGGAATATATATATATATATATTATGTATAAAACAATAGAAACAATACTAAAATAAAATTTATAAATGACTCACAAATTGCTAGTAATTTGTATCAATAAAAATTACATTTTTATTAGCATATATATATATACACTATATTATGGTAAATATTATAAGATATATTATAAAAGTACAATATAAACCATACAATAAAACACATTAGTTTAATGGCAACTAAAAAAAGCCAGTAAAATGAAAATGAAAACATATAAAATAAATTAATTTTAATTTATACTGAAAAAAATTTAAATATTAAGACAATATATTTTATTATCTACCAAATAATTACAGCTAATTACAGTCTATAATAAAATTAGTTTTAAAATATATATATATTTATTCATTAATCCAATATTAAGTTAATAAATAAGATTTAATAAAAATATGCTATCAATCATAAAATGATATAATATTTGATTACATATATCTAATTTATAAACATTTATCTACAGATGATTGTATTAATAATAATATAAATGTAATTTATAGTAAAAATGTAATAATAATAATAATAATAAATACTTATGATTTTATAAATTTATATTTTTGTTATGAATTTTATTTTATTTTTCCCAAAATACTATTAACACACTTGTGTTATGTTTTGTTTGTCCGATTGAATTATTTTTGTATTTTTATATTTTAATATGTTATGTCACACAATAACTAAGCAATAGTATGAATGTATGTGTATGTGTGTGTGTGTGTGTGTGTGTGTGTGTGTGTGTGTGTGTGTGTGTGTGTGTGTGTGTGTGTGTGTGTGTGTGTGTGTATGTGTATGTTTGTATATATATATATTTCAATGTCTGTATGTCAATGTGTGTATTCACTTCAATAAATAGTGTATTTTTTTATTATTGTCACAATAAATATACTAAAATGTATTAAAACATAT